GAGAAAGGGGAACCCTCCTACACTGCTGGTGGGAATGTAAATTAGTTCAACCATTGTGGAAAACAGTATAAAGGTTCCTCAAAATGCTCAAAATAGACATACCATTTGAGCCAGGAATTCCACTTCTAGGAATTTACCCTAAGAATGCAGGAGCCCAGTTTGAAAAAGACAGATGCACCCTTATGTTTATTGCAGCACTATTTACAATAGCCAAGAAATGGAAGCAATCTAAGTGGCCATCAGTAGATGAATGGATAAAGAAGATGTGGTACACATATACAATGGAATATTATTCAGCCATAAGAAGACAACAAATCCTACCATTTGCAGCAACATGGATGGAGCTAGAGGGTATTATGCTCAGTGAAATAAGCCAGGTGGAGAAAGACAAATACCAAATGATTTCACTATGATTTCACTCATATGTGGAGTATAAGAACAAAGAAAAACTGAAGGAACAAAACAGTTGCAGAATCACAGAACCCAAGAATGGACTAATAGTTACCAAAGGGAAAGGAACTGCGGAGAATGGGAGGGTAGGGAGGGATAAGGGTTGGGAAGAAGAAAGGGGCTATTACGAATAGCATGTATAATGTTGGGGGGAGGAATGGGGAGGGATGTGCAACACAGAGAAAACAAGTAGTGATTCTACAACATCTTACTACACTGATGGACAGAGACTGTAATGGGGTTGGTTGGGGGACTTGGTGAAGGAGGGACCCTAGGAAACATTATGTTCTTCATGTAATTGTAGATTAATGATAACAAAATTAAAAAGAAAAAGATGGGCCAAGAGGAAACTACGTGTGCAGGTTGAACTTTTACAGTGTATGAAGGCAGGTAACTAGATTGTCAACTGTATAATCCAAGCAATTAGTTAGTATAATCAATGAGTATTACCTCTAAGAGAATTACTAAGCAAAGAATTCTTGTCAAACATTAACAGAGAAGCTGTTTGAAAATCAGTAGACAACTGTAAAATACAGACTTAGAATAATTTTCACTGGATTAAGGAATACTGATGGAAATCAACTCTCTTGTGGGCTGTAATAACAATTCTATTTTGAAACAGAAGAAAACTTACCTGTGATGTGCTATCAGCTGCTTTCTTATTAACAGAAACATCTACTGTTTTGTTTGTCTGGTTTTCTGAGGAGTTCAAAAAAACAAAACCAAGTCAGAGTCATTTTTAAAAGCACCTAGAAAATGTGAAAGGTTGGGTTGCTCTTTATACAACAAATTATGTAATTTTCTCCAATTATATGTTTGTCAACATGTTCACATGGTAAAAAATTTACTGACAAGGCAAAAATGTAGTAAAGTTATTAGAAAAATAGTTATGAACAGTGATTGAGAAAATACACATGCATAATCTTAGTAGTTTGATCACAGATTTTTTTTACTCCATACACTGGAATTTGAATTGAGTTTGACACACACAGAAAATTTACTTCTATAACAGCATAGAAAATAAACCACCTATGTTTGTCTTCCTCAATTTCTAAAGACAAGTATAAATTTATCAAATGTCCTTAAGCATCTATTTTTCCTCCTTGGTAAGATACTGATAGTTTTCTAATGTTGAAATATCCCATCACTGTTTTCTGTAGATAAAAACCTTCTTCATCAAAATATGGCTTTTATTTGCAAATCTTAAGATACAGAGTAAAACATTTTAAAAAAATGGGCTACAAGTATATAAACCTGTACATTAAAGAGAAAATCAGGATAAACATCTACCTGTTAGAAGAGGTTTTTCCAGGGTAGGGAGGTAAAAAAGGAAGCCCTTTCAATTTCTCCTTGCCCTATCTGAATTATCAGTTATTTCTGTAGGAAGAATATATTTATATATTATGTGCTTTTGAAAAGTATCTTAAAAGTTTTTATTTATAATGCATTAGCATCTGTTGGGAAGTGTGAAGTTTCTGAAATACTACGTAATAAAAATCAATTCCAAGTTACTGATCCTACATGGTAGTGTATTAAAATACACTTATGACGTTACCAAAAATGCGTGATTTACTACCAAAGTAGTTTTATATAAAATGTCAGAATATTCATTTGGACTTGAAATACATTTTCATTTTCAAATCAAAACAAAAGGTAATGTCAGATGAAAAGTAGATAAGGGAGTGTCATTTTCATTTTCTGTTGAAATCATACAAAAAATTCCTTAAGATTAAGGAATGATTTTGACTGCTTAAACTTATATATATACATGTGTGTGTGTGTATATATATATATATATATATATA